CTGGAGGTACCCGGGGATGGTACCTTTGCTCCAGGAAGCCTTTTGGAGCTAAACTCACATACTCTGTAAATACAGAGGAGTCGGGATGGTGACACTGTACTGCCATCCCTGGTCACTAGGCTCATGGCCAGGAGGACATCTGATCCCATGTGGGGCTCCTCACTGCCTGGGCAGCCTTCGTTGCAGAGGTCGACCTCGCAGTGCTTTGGGATGAGCTCTCCTTTCCCTCGCTGTCTGCTCTGCGGTAGCCCCGAGTGCCTGATGTTCAAAGTCATTACAGTGAGGAGACTGCGAGCTACAGTGTGAGCCAAGCGGAGGAAGTGTGTGTGTCCAGCCTCTGGGTCGCTGCCTGCCCTTCCTCTGCTGCAGGGAGCTGCGTGTTGATGTCGGCCTGAACCACGGGACCGCCGTCATCAACACCGACATGCGCATCAGCAGCAGGAGCCGTGAGGCCGCCAGGGTGTGGCTCCCAGACCCAGGGCCGCCCTGCCCCCTGCGCAGGAGGGCAAGACGCCCCGGAAGGCCAGTGTGGGGAGCAGCGGGCCCTGGGCAGGCCCGGCAAGCAGCCTGTGCAGACAGGCCCCTAGAGGAGCATCTCACAGGCAGCTCAGGGCCCTGAGCCCCACATCCAGGAGCTGAACCCGCATCAGGCTTGGGCAGTGCCTTGGGACTGTTACTAAAAGAGCACTTGGGGTACAACTTACTGTCCAGACTCTTTCTGGGTGGAAATTGCAGTCAGGCCTGCCGATGGGCAAGTGCTCGGGAGTTAGCAGTGGAGTCTGGTGGTGAACTTGCAGGAGCCACTGCCTTGTAAAAGCCCAGTCTGCTGCTTGTTTCAGTGAATCCAGATGTTTTGTACCTCAGCACAGTACAATGCAGGACGTTCCCAGAGGCTCAGTTTACCAAAAACCTCAGCGGTTTTGCAGCAGAAGTAGTCAGTCTTGTTTGCTGTAACTTTCTGCAAAGGGACTGTATGTCTCTGCCCCACCCCGCCCTGCCTTCTAATCCCCAGAGGAGGTTTTCTAGTAATGGTCCCTTCCAGACCACCTCTCCCTGCACACAGATACACGATGATGATGATGATGATGATGATGATGATGCAATCAGACAGTCTAGTTTCTTAGTCTTGAGCCAAACCCTGACTCCCACCCAAGGTCCTGATCCTCTTCCTTCACCACCTTTCCCAGGGTAGCCCATTCAGCTCATGGAAATCAGTTCTCCTAAATCCATCAGGAAAATCACGTAAAAGTGGGAAGCCCTCCCCTGTCTCACTGAATGTGATGCTGACAGTGATATAAGTGTCCCCAAAGAGTACAGCCTGGGTGATGTCGCCACCACACGAGGCCCTTTACCTGAGGATCTCACTTCATTGTCACATTAAAACAGCAATGGTTTATACGGAGCAGGGATAGCCAGACACTGAGT